CTGATTAAAGCTGAATTCAAATCTTATAGTTTACACTTTAAATCAACGACTCATCCAGCGAGACATTAACGTCTGTGTATATTAACGATTCTGTTCATATTAATTCGTGGCCAACGACACATGAACAAAATGGTAATGTTATTAATTTTGAGCAAGGTAACAAGGATCTTGGCAAATGTTTTAACCTTAAAATTATATGACACCAAACAATGATTCTTTATAAATGAAACATTAATTTTATTGGCTATTCTAGATTACATCAAATTTAAGCTAAAACACACATACACACAAACATACAGTTTCTTTAGAATGAGAGTTGACGGGGTTGCATGAAGTTTTAAAGTTCTAACTCGTTTTCACGAGTGATTTAAATTCTCCTGAGAGAATTCACAAAGCAGAGAATTTTAGCTTATGTTTACTGCTTAAAGTAACTCGACACCAGTTCAGCAGTGATAAGATTTTGTTTGTTTACTTGCGTTCTGCTTGGTTGACGGCTGAAAAGCTGAGATGATGTCGTTGCTGACACGGGCTTCCTGTATGGCTGCTGAGGGAACCCCATTGCTGATTGGTTACTGAGGTGATGTTTGGATGACGTCCTTTTGGGAGACCCCTCGTTGGATTGGTTGGTCTCTTGATGCCAGAAGCTTGAGCAGTTTTGCTACAGTCTGAGTTTGCGAGACTCAGAGTTCTTTGACGATCGCGAAGTTTCCCTGAAGTGTTTGAGTTTTAGATGACCGATCGCTTTGATGGTAAACGTGTGAGCACAAGGTGGAGTGCTCTTAACACGGCAACAGGCGAAAGCAAGCAAGCCAATCTGTTCTGCATTGGGTTTTGATCCGCTGCATAAGTCCGTCCCACAACGCAATCTCCCAATCGCCTTCTTGCAAGGCAGAGCATACATACATACATTAACAAGAGGCTCCAATTTATTATGTGGAGAAATGAAGATTTGCAGGTTTTGTTAATAACTTCTATATAGTGTTGTACAACACATACTGTTTGAAATAACAGCTTTTCACTTATTTCAATATTCTGCAATTATCACAAGTTTACATTCAATACTAAACTTCACATATCTTACACACATATTAATAACCTCATTTCCTAAAAAGGGTAATAAACACTGATTAAAGTTGCACAGATTACATGAACACATCAAGCATATATACATAAGACATACAACATATTATTTGTGAATCTATTGCTCCGATACTTTCAAATGATTGTCTTATGAATCGTCTGTGTAAGTTCGTGTCCCTTTTTTTGGAATGCAGGGGGGAAAGGGGAGGTGTCCTGAGGTCATGCCCATGTCAAGCGAGTGTGGATCTGCCATCCTTCTGCTGGACAGGAAGCTCTAAAATTGTCTCTTTTGTTGATCGGATTTAGCAATTTATCTGTTAAATGGTCAGGGGTATCACACATCTGGTCCTTGAAAGCCCATAAAACAAAGACAGTTTTGTATCCTCGTTTGAGTTAGGAGTCTTTTATTTGAGTCTCTTGAGAGATACGCTATATAGGACAGGAACTGCTTCAACACTTCACTGACCCTGCATGAGTTTTACGACCGCAGCTGGTGGCATAGGGCTCCTCAGTTTGTCTCAATGGATTGTGATTGTTTCATGTGTGACTCGCTAGTGTAAGTGGGTTCGTTGTAAGACAGAGATCCTACACTCAGCTCTATTTTCCTTTAAAATCAGGTACTGATTCAGTGTCCTCTCTGCTAGCTTGTTTAGAGGACATTAAGGTTTGGATGGACAATAATTTCCTTCAGCTAAATCAGAAAAAGACTGAAGTTATGTTGTTTGGCCCTTCACACCTTTTAAATAATCTAAGTTCTACCCTGGGCCCCCTTCAAGAAAACATTCATGATAAAGTAAAAAATCTGGGAGTTACCCTTGACCCAGAGTTAAAATTTGACAAACAAATCAATTCTGTAGTTAGAGCCAGTTTTCTGCAGTTTAGGGGACTTCGCAAGTTTAAAAATATTCTGAGCTTTAGTGATTTGGAGACCGTTATTCATGCATTAATCTCAACCAGGTTGGACTATTGTAACTCTCTATATGCTGGAATAAATCAGTCCTCGCTCTTGCGCTTGCAACCAGAACGCCGTGGCTCATTTTTTAACAGGGACAAAAAAGAGAGAACATATCACACCTGTGTTAGCATCACTTCATTGGTTACCTGTGCAATTCAGAGTTGATTTTAAGGTTTTAGTATTTGTATTTAAATCACTTCATGGTCTTGCCCCTGCTTATATTTCAGATCTTCTCCATTCCTACTATTCTGAGAGAACACTTAGATCTTCCACCCAGATGTTAGTAAATGTTCCAAAATCTCGACTTAAATCCAAAGGTGACAGGGCTTTCTCAGTTTTTGGTCCAAAGCTCTGGAATTCCCTACCATTGTCTATTAGACTATCCCCTACTCTATCCACATTTAAATCTTCTCTTAAAACATATTTTTTTTCTCAGGCATATGCTTAATTTGATCATATTTTAGTTTTAATTTTGTTTTATCTTGCGTGGTGATGTTTTGTTTTGTTTTAACTTTATTAATTTTTGTTCTGTTTTCTTTTGATTTATTTTATTAGTATTTCAATTGTATTGTATGAGGATGTTTTTGTCTCGTATGTTGTGCAGCACTTTGGTCAGCATTTATGTTGTTTTAAAGGGCTATATACGTAAACTTGACCTTGACCTTGACCTATTGTGGTCAGTTTATAGTATATTGTTATCAGTGGCGCCTCCAGGATTTTTTTATAGGGTGGCCGAAAGGGCCAGTAAAAATGTTAGGGTGGCACAAAAATGTTGCATGTCTAAATCTAATGTCAGGCAATAATTTTTGGCGTTACCATTAATTCTGGGAGCATATAATGTTATAGGCTTCAAAACTTCAGTATTTCTATTCTCTGTATAGAGTAAAATCTAAAAAAGTCAGTCTGCAATTCAACTGCAAGTACCCCATGTTTATTTGAAGTGCAAATTCCTTTCAAATGAGAGTAAAAGTAAACAAGAAAGCATAGATGTTTAACACATCACTTCATTAAAATAATTGTTACACTGTTGAGAGCGTATTCTACAGTACACATCATACAAGTTTATTAGATTTACTATTAATATAGTGTTTCGTTAATGTCTGTGTTAATTTATAAAATAAAATTATCATTCTAAAAAAACTCCACTCTTTCTGTTTGGGGGGGCCAATGGGGTGGCCAGTGTCATTTTACCTATGGGCCCTGCACCTCTGGCCGCTCAACGGGAGCCTTCGTGCCTCCCAGAGCGAGTCTTAAACACAATTTCGGAGGCTAGAGCTCCGTTTACGAGACGCCTCTATGCCTTAAAGTGGTCTTTTTTCTCCGTCTGGTGTTTAAACCGCGGCAAAGACCCTCTCACTTCCGAATTAGCAGAGGTGCTGTCTTTTCTACAAGAGCTGCTGGATAAGGCTCCCCATCCACGCTCAAAGTCTATGTGGCAGCTATAGCGGCCTCTCATGTCCCTATTGAGGGCCAATCAGTGGGCAAAAATAGCGCAGTCATACGCTTCCTGAAGGGTGCAAGGAGGCTGAATCCGCCTTGTCCCCTACCGTCCCTTCATGGGACCTGCCCACTGTGCTGAGGGCCCTGAAGGGCCCCGCTTTCAAACCGCTACAAGCCGCCAACATTAGGTCGCTATCGCTAAAGACTGCTCTGCTTCTAGCACTAGCATCAGTAAAGCGAATAGGAGACCTAGAGGCGCTCTCAATTAACGCTGCCTGTCTGGAGCTTCTCTATAAGCATTGGTTGCTTATGGAAGTTATACCTTTAGTCATTCTACTACATTAGCACGGTGTAATTGGACTGTTCCCAGTACGAGTGAAGTATCGAAAGGGAACGTACTCGGTTATTAACGTAACCTCGGTTCCCTGTGATATAGGAACGAGTACTGTGTTGCTAGCCGTAATTTTTCAGCTCTCTATTCTTTTTTGCTTAAGGTTTTTCATTCCCCGTCTTGATTGTGTTGTCTTGTGTTCCTGTTGAGTCTTGTCCTGTTCGGTGGTCCTGTTCTGTATGTAGTGTTTCCCCATTCTAGTCCTGCCCTGCCGCCTGTGGTTCCCTGCCCACTGGTTCCCTCTTCCTGGCAGCCAGACTGGTTCAGATTTAGTGTTCAAGTAACAGATTTCTACTTCCTTGTGCCTCGCCTGGTCTTCACCACTATCTGCCTGGTCCTGCCACCTCATCTGCAGTTGTCCAACTTGTTGTCATCCAGGGCTGGTTCCAGCAGTCATCGTTTCCTGTATCCCCTGTTATTGGACTGTTTCACGCCACCCTTGTGGCTTGTCTGTTTTGTTAATAAACCCAATCATTGTTCATCTGCATTTGGGTCCTCACTCATAGATCCTGATAGGTAATTTACTCTCCCCCATGTCATCCAAGATGTTAACGTCTTTCTTTCTTCAGTTGCAAAGAAATGAAGGTTTATGAGGAAAATGTTCCAGAATTTTTCCCCATATAATGGACTTCAATGGTGGAATACAAATACACTACAAACTGAAATACAAGTTTTTATTTTTTTTTAGAAAATGACTGATCTTTTTGTTAGATAAAAACCCTATTCCTCGGCTGGGATCGTGTACAGGAGAGTCCTTTGAAGCTGCATTGAAACTCCAATTTGGACCTTCAACCTGTTGGTCACCATTTAAGCTCATTATATGGAGAAAAATTCTTGTAATGTTTTCCTCAAAAACCTTAATTTCTTTGCGACTGAAGACAGCAATACATGAACATCTTGGATGACATGGTGGTGAGTAAATTATCAGAAAGTTTTTTTTCTGGAAGTGAACTAATCCTTTAATTCTATAAAACCTAATGCCATTTTAAATGTAATTTAAGCTTTTTATTACACAGTTACATCCAAGTAATTATCTATCAATTAATGTAACTTTATATACAGTACTAAATCACAGTGAGACACATAGCATACAAATGGCCTTTAGATCATTGATAACCTTGCACCTTTTGATAGTGTGCTGGCAGGTTATAATGGCACCATCTTTGCCTATGGCCAGACTGGAAGTGGGAAGACCTTTACAATCACTGGAGGTGCAGAGCACTACAACGATCGAGGGATCATCCCCAGAACTCTTTCGTACCTTTATCAGCATTTCAGCAAGGTCAGTAGACAATTTCATTATATTTCTGAAAAAAATAGAATATATGTATTCAGCAAAAAAATGAAGTAATCTAGGCTAGAATCAAGATTTAGCTGGTGAACTGTTTTGATCTTCCCTGGTATACCTTGTTTAGTTAGTTGTATATCTGTTTGCAGGACAGCAGCATGATCTATACAACCCACATATCTTACCTGGAAATCTACAATGAGACTGGCTATGATCTACTGAATCCCCAACATGAGGCATCTCGTCTGGAGGACTTACCGTAAAGTCTTTGTTTTAACCCTAACTAATTTAATCAGTATTTCAGATCTGTAATCAGTAATAATTTTCCAATATGGCCACATTCATATACTAGTTACATCAATGCAAATAGTTGTTTTAGAATAATATATTGTTGCTTAAGCCTCATGTATATATGTATATTATGACAATACATTAAAATAATATGATCACAAATATCAGTTTGCAATATTGTAGATGCATAATGGGCTTTTTTGCACAGAATTTTTTTTCGTTCATCCAATTAAGGGCAAGTTATTTATTTTTCATTGGCTCAAGTTAAAAAAAATACAGATGTGAATCATTACCCTAATTTGTTTTAATTGGATGAATGAAAAATTTTTTTCAGTGTGTACATCTAAGAAGCGAATGACATATAGGCTACATTTGGATTAAATAGCTTAATTGATATATATATATATATATATATATATATATATATATATATTTGGAACAAGGACATGGCATATATCTCATAATTTTCATTTATTTACTTTTCCATTTTAAGCTGTTCATTCATACACCTCTTTGTTTTGTTTTGGATCCTTAGCCATTTGATAATGTGGTCTTTTTTAACAAAAATCTAAATTGGTCATGTTGGAGTGATGCATATATGACTAATACAGTCTTTTCCACTTCATTTTAATTCCTCTGGTGTCTCTTTCTTTGCTCTGTTGACATTTAACTCAAGACCTGGGGCCCGTTCTTCGTACCTTGCTTAATACATCTGAGATGATTTGAAAGATTCCAGATCTAGTAATCATGATAATTGATCTCTGGCTAATTTGGTTCTTCAAACGAATTTGCGGATCTGATTAAAATATCTGGATTAAGTTATCTAAGATTACTTAATGTTCTCGTGTTCCCCGTAAAGGGCAGATGTATCGATACCCGAAACCACGATCAGCAATGCAGCGATTGGCTGGCGGCAAGACACAACGTAATTATATCATATAATTAAAAAAGACACCTGACTAAAATCTTGACAAATTTCTGGACCTTTATAAGGAAACAGCCAAGTGAACAAAACTACATAAATGCTATAATAGATAAATGAAATGTGCACTGTTTTTATTTGATTCATTTTTTATTTTTTACATGATTCCCAATTATTTATATTCACGATTACTAATATTTGTACAGGCTTTACATTTTTAGTTCAATGTTGTAATTAGCAATTCATGTAATGTTATCTTTGAAGCCGATTTGTTATGTGACAGCATTAAAGTTTCTTAAGGGTCAAGATCAAGTTATCTGCATCCCCTGCGCTCCATCAAGCCACTCCCATAATAGCTGTCAGCACTCAAATTAATGCACGACTCAGATTTTTACAGCATGTGTGTAAAGACTCTAATACAATTATAAAGTAATTATTTTATCAGGAATAAATCTTTCAATGAGTAAAACTGGCCGTGTCTATATTATTATAGATTACACAACATTATAATATTATTTTCAAATTATTATTATTTTAAATTATGTCCCCGGATTAGTAGGGTACTCTTGTAATAAGGTAGCAGTGGCTGGGATATATTTTAAATATCAGTTCCACTTAAAAGATGCAATCTAATCCTGTTTACATGAAATAAGCCTGCTCCCGAGCAGGTTTACGTTTACGGACCTGTTGCTATGACAGCAAGTCCAGGATGAGCTTCGACGAACCAAATAATCCAAGATCATGCCAAATCGTCAACAATCAAATCGAGCTAACTGTGTTAGCGACGTACGAAGAACGGGCCCAGGAGTCCCACAAATTGCACACTTCTGAAAATAGACTGTGCCCACTTTTGACCACACAAGCTAAACTTTCAAGGAGCAATGACACTTAAAATCCACTGTCCCTATTACAAGCAGTATCACTTATCACTTTCTTTCTATTGTTATCTCTCTCTCTCTGTATATTCATCCATATCTTTGTTCATATTTCTTTCTATGTCATTCAAAACAAAAGATGTCAATGGTATAAAATTAGAATGTCCAGCAGGCTAACTGAGCCGTTGTCTAATTGAGCTGTAATGTTGTAATTTCATGTTAGAGTTGATAACAAAACTTTAAATATTTATTTCAGATGTATCTATCTGGCATCCATCTAATTCATTTTTAATTCAATGATTAAGGAACCATGGGTGCTTGAATATGTTTTCCAATAGGATTGCTTACTTCATGTTGTTTTTCTTGTAGTTTATCACTTAGCCTGATATCAGTTCTTGTCACATCAGATGTCTTAGTTTTTGTTGTGACTCAGACACTTACATTAAATAATAATTTTAGAACCATCTGGTTCTATTCTGACTTCATGCTCTAATGAATGTTCAGGATTCAATACAAGTTTTAAGATCTGCTGACAGTATGTCAGAGATGTTGTTTATAGAGCTCAAAACCTTTATTATACCAAAAGGTAAGGACAGTATACTCAATAATGCAAACATAAGTGTAGGCTAGGGCTGCACGATAAATCGCATGCGATATTTAACGCGCATCTTGTCAGTAAAGCCGGTTCTTTAATCAGCGGTAAATCTCCAGCACCTGCGGGCTTTCACATGGAGCAGCATTGACAAGCTGCGCAAAACCACGATCATATTTTGCGCATGTTTTGCGCAGCTTGTCGGCTCTGTGTAGTTAATGCTGCTCCATGTGAAAGCCCGCAGGTGCTGGAGATTTACCGCTGATTAAAGAACCGGCTTTACTGACAAGATGCGCGTTAAATATCGCATGCGATTTATCGTGCAGCCCTAGTGCAGGCATAACAGAAAAAGACAGTTTTCCTGTCCACCTATAGCAGTTATGATGTATATGTGCATGTGTACAGTATTTCTCTGCAATCTACTGTTAAACAGCTGATGTTCATTGATTTGATGATTGACTACTTCCCTCACTCACTTTATATTTTGTTTGCTAACATTCTTAACATTTTGTCATTGACTTAGGAAGGTGACAATCATGGAAGATCCAGACCAGAACATTCACCTCAAGAACCTGTCTTTGCAACAGTCAGCCAATGAAGAGGAAGCTTTGGATTTGCTATTTTTAGGAGACACTAATCGTATGATCGCAGAGGTGAGGACATCAGTTTGTATGTAAAGGTTGATTCTGCTCTCTATTAGCGTACTACACTGGCCATGTTCTCATAGTCAGTGTTTAGGATTGACGAGTGTTTTTGTAAGAAATGTTTTTCAGAGAATAGTTTTTCACCTTTTTTCCCTCACCTTTTTCACCATATTTTCAATCTCCCAAAGGGTGTACAAAATTTCTGCACATTTACTTATTTGATATGTTTAAACCTATAACAGCAATTTGTATCCATCCATTTTTCAAATCGCTTGTCCTATATAGGGTAATAACAGCAATTATGGAACAAAAATAAAAAGATATAGTTACAAGAAAAACATGGATTGGGATCTCATTTAACAACAAGAAAAAAACAACAAAATACCTATTTATTTCTGCACTTTAAAGTTAACAAAAAAGAGGAAGAAAAAGCAACAAAGACAAAAAACAAATAGACCGTAAATTAGTTGTCATGCAGCTTGTCTGCAAACTTGCTTTTAAAAGTTAATAGATTTGCCTGAAATTTTTGATTAAAGGATTGATTATGCAAAAGGTTATAGTCTATTATAGAATACTATTGTCACTCCTTTGCGTGACTGAATGAGTATGAAAATAACCATTGCTGTATACTTAAAACATTTACACTTAGCCATCTATGAGCGTCTTCAAAAAAGGTTTTTTAGAGGTACTGAATAGTACCAGAAAATAGAGGTTTACAAATGCATCTTTGTTCAAAGTGACTGATTGATGTTGCCTTAGTGTTAATTACGTTGACAAAAAGCATGACGAAAAATGTTTGTTGACAAGCTTTTTTCTAATGACTAAGACGAGACGATGACGAGACGACAATAAAGTCAATAAACTGTGACTATATCAACATGCAATCTCGTTGATGACAAATACGAGACTAAAATGTATTTAAAAAATATAAACTATACCAAGATTTCTTTTTATTTTCGTTGGAAAAAAGAAACAAAATATTATTGCGGGCTGCTGTACACGCCTCTACTACACCAGATTTCATGTGTACGGTTGCCAGACTTCAATAGTTCAAATCCTTCAGAGCTTTTCTGTTAAAAGGATACATTTTCTGCTCAGTGTTTTGCTTGTTTTTTGCAATCTGGCAACCATGCGACTTGTCTCTATTAGAGTGTTTTAATCTGAAACAACTGGTGGACTTTTCTACTCATAAAAATGGTCAGACCTTGGATCTAGTGGTTACCAATAGTTCATTTTTGTCACTGCCTGCCTCTGTAGACTTAGGGCTGTCTGACCACTTGGCTATTCTGTTTAATATGGAATTATCATTTACAGAAATGTCATTTACACAAATGGTAAATTATGGTAAATGGAAAATCGATTGATCTTCAGTATTTTTCTGCTTTTATTGAGTCATCCGTTAGTTGTCTTTCTCCATCTGACTCCCTGGAGGACAAAGTCTGTTAAATTCTGCTCTCCTCTCTGCTTTGGACTCATTTGCACCTATGAAATCTCGATCTGTGCCCTATGTACGCTCTGCTCCTTCGTACAATAATGAGCTATGCTTTAAGGCGGCAGCTTGCTGTACGATAGAGTGTAGGTGGTGTTGTTCTGGTCTGAATGTACATCACCTAGCTTTGAAGGACCACTTAAAGGTGCACTAAGCGATTTTTGAAAAACGCTTTTGACCGCTGTGTCGGACCGAGTCCCAAAACAAACTCAGCCAATCAGCAGTAAGGGGTGTGTCTAATAATTATAGGGAGAAGAGAGCACTCAGAACATTAAAGGGGTCATATGATGTTGCTAAAAATAACATTATTTTGTGTATTTGGTGTAATGCAATGCGTTTATGCAGTTTAAGGTTCAAAAAACACATTATGTACATTATTGTTTCTCCTCTATGCCCCGCCTTTCTGAAAAGCGTCGATTTTTACAAAGCTCATCGGTCTGAAAAGCGAGGTGTGCTCTGATTGGCCAGCTATCCAGTGCGTTGTGATTGGCTGAATACCTCAAGCGTGTGACTGAAATGTTACGCCCCTTACCATTCTGTGTTTCCATGTGTGCGCGACGAGACAAAACCAATAAAACCCATTACAAACGAGGCATTTGTTGCATCCAGGGTGGACATAATTGCAGATTATAATGACTTATACTGTGTTTTTACGCTTTGCGTTGCATATTGCGCTACGTAAACATAAAACCATGTCTGCATTTGTGATCGGAGAAATTACAAACAACAAGCGCTACTCTACACTGTTCAAACTCGCGTTTGAATCATCAGTGGCAAAATCTTTAAATATAAAAAACGTACTTACATGCTGTGAGTCAGAAGCGCCAGACTGTCCTTGCAAAGTTGGAACTGCCCCACTTTATAGAAACATTATGTCCTCTTTTGGAAGGCCAAACAAAGTAGTTTCGCTTTCACAACGAAACACACAGCGGATTGAGTGAGCGGCGCTCTGCGTTTTTTTTATTATTTCAGTTCTAAGATCGACAAGGCACGAAGCTGTATGACTATTACTTCTGATGCAGCGGAACCTGCTCTCAGCACCGCTCAATTCTCTGGTGCCCCTCTTTCAAATTTCTCCACACTTGATTTAATCTCTCTGGGCAAAGAAGTTTCAGAAATGAAGGCTGGCACCTCCATTGTTGATCCTGTTCCAACCTGTTTATTTAAAGCATGTTTTGTCTGTGTGGGCACTGTTGTTTTGAGTATTGTTAATGACTCCCTGTGCTCTGGTGTTGTACCAGCAGCTTTCAAAATTGCGGCGGTTACTCCTATGCCAAAAAAAGACAAACTTTGATCTGGACAATCTAAATAATTACCATCATATTTCAAATCTTCCCTTTTTAGCCAAAATTCTTGAGAGAACAGGGGCATCTCAACTGAATACCCACCTTACACTTATCAATTTATTTGAGCCTTTTAAATCTGGCTTCAGCAAGTTTCACAGTACCGAAACAGCATTAGTGAAAGTTACTAATGATTTGTTACTTGCTACGGACTCTGACTCTTCTTGATCTCAGTGCGGCCTTGACACACTTGATCATTTTCTTTTACTCAATCGGATGAAATCGGTGTATGGCATTACTGAGACTGCATTAAATTGGTTCAAGTCTTACCTCTCGGACTATAGGCAGTTTGCCTCCATGGGTGGCTACAAGTCCAAAATTGGCCCAGTCAAGTTTGGGGTTCCCAGGGATCAATTTTGAGTCCATTAATTTTTAGTATGTATATTTTTTCTCTTGGTCATCTCCTTAGATCTCTTGGTCTTAACTATCACTTTAATGCAGATGACACCCAGGTTTACATTCACTCAAAACCGGGTGATTACGGAGCTGTTGCATTCGTTGAACATTGCATTTCTGAGATAAAAACTTGGATGACTCCACATTTTCTATGGTTATGCTCATTGGTTCAACACACCGATTACGTAAAGCTGGACCTTTAACACTTAATGTAAATATTATTATGTGCAAACGCTCATTCTTCATTCTGGAAGTAAGCTGAAGTTTAGTGATCTCCATGTGAGATGCTCAGCTTTTAAATGAAAGTGGCAATTGTATGTAATCAAAGTGCTACAATAATATGTAATCGGCATGTATGTACATGTTGGTGTTTTTGAGAAAACAACGTTTATGCGTGGTTAGTGAAAAACAAAAATTTTTAAGTCACTAGAATAAGGCCATGAAACAGATACAGAACATTTGTCCACAAGACTTTTGAGAACTGGATGTGGTAGACTAGAGTTTTTGCTACAAAATGATGTGAAAATCATCCTGCTCACTCATTCACACAAAACAATATATTGATTTAACTTTTGTAAGACATGTTTTGTGTTAGAAAGGCCGTATGTGAGGGAGTGACAATGTCCATGAATATTTAGTGATAGTTTTACTCAAATGAAAGGGTCAAATGCTCATGAAGTGACTCATGCAGTTCTAGAGATGTTCATGTATTTATGTCCTCATTAGTGAGATGGCAGACATTAATATCACCGGAAGCGTCACAAGCGTGTTTCAGTACGAGTACTACACAAAACCGAGCATCTGCGCCATTCATTAACACCGAGACACGCAGGCGGGCCGCCCCCCTAAAATAATGGCAGGGGAAACACTGGTTTTGATTATTTGTATTTTATTTACAACACAGTATAATCAAAATATACACAGTGAAGGTCAAAGACACATTGTTGAGCACACTGATCTAAACACCGAGACTTGAACACACCTTTGTGCCATTCCTGAAACCGATCCTGTTCAACTGTTGAAACAAGTAAACTATACCTGATATTTCCAATCTGTTTGCTGCTTCTTTTCATGAATTCAAGAAAAAAACAGCCCCATCATCAGTAGTCATGGAGCTTATTGTGATTGTAGCTCCACTTTTCTGTTGAATCTCTATTTTACTATCACTCTCTGTTGTTTAAAGTGATAAAATATAACTTAATTCCCACCTTATTTCTGATATTATATATCAAACTAATCTGATTAATTTGATTGTTCGCTTTTATTCTAAAATTGCGAGTGCAGCGCGCTAGCATTCATTAGCCAGTTAGCTTATTATTTGCGTTTCCATTCTTGTCTATTGCTGTTTTCTTTTGTTTTTTTTTCTCTCGCACCATTTCTTTTCTCTCTCGCTCCGTTTTCTCACGAGTTCATCAAACAACAGTGGTACGTCAGAATCATTCATCAATCACGGTGAGCAATGGCTTCTTCTCCTGCTATTGTTGTTTGCACCGCTTGCCACATGTATAGTTTTGCTCTCTCTGTCGGCGATGAGGGATTCACATGTGATAAATGCAGGGAAATATTTAGGCTGACAGAGAAGGTTTCAGAATTCGAGACACACATCCAAACTTTAATTGAGGATAGTAAGAATGTGAGGGCTCTATATACAGCTTTGGTTGCGACTAGCTCAGGGAGTCCTGTACATTGTTCGGTTCCGGTTACAAATCAGTTAATTCTCAGCACATAGAGACCTTTTCACCTAGATATCACACTATAGAGACTGTGTCTGTTCCCTGAAC